CAGCCATCTTTCCAGTGATTCCTATGAGATCTAGGTGAGAATTCAGCTGCCCACTGTGAGATTTTTGAACCACTTGAATGAAAACGGTAGTCTTAAAATTAACACTAGAGATCTCTGTTTCTTATACTATTGGGTTTTTATGAAATTTTTATCCTATCATTCAAATACTCTTAAAAATGGTAAAAAGTAAATGTATTGAAGTCACCTTAATGCAAATTTAAATTGACTTTATTTCTACTCTGGGGCTTCTTCCTTTGCAATAAGTGAGAACAGAACCCATTCTATCTATTATCTCTATTAATGTACTATTATCTTTTCTCTCTACACACAAGCACAGAAATTCCTACAAGGAATGAATTTTTCTAGCAAAAATTAAATTACATAGAATTAAGAAGGTAAAGACTTCCCTGAAAACAGGATCCCAGAAAATGTGCTGAAAAAAGAAACTCCAGGAACAAGCTAGAGATAACTCAGTTTACATCAGGGCTGTATGATGTTTTTTTTTTCTCCTTTCTTTTCTCTTCCATGTCTTCAAGGTGCCTTAGGAAAATACTATTTAACAGTAAAACTGAAACTTTACATGCATAAGGCAGTATATAGTATAGTACTAAGGTTCTTGTGAAGGATGAAGATTTGATTCTCAAAACCTGTCCATTGAACAATGATCAGTCAAGTGTTTGAATATTCGTCCATCTTCCTTTTCTGGGAGAAAGGATTAAGAGCATGTAGATGGATAAAAGCAGTTCATTTTGAGATGATTTCAAGAAAGTTTATATGGTTTCCTCCTTCTTCAATTCAATCTAGTGAGCTGGTGCTTTGTTTGTTGCTAAAATATGAACTAGAACATAGAGAGAATATCTTGAAGTTTTCAGAATGCAAATAGGTGATGCAAACAGGGCAATGCTGTCCTTTAATGTGCTGGTAGATATATGATTTCTTTCCAGAGATGAGATGTGAAATGTTGCATGAAATGCATGTAAGTGAGAGCTGGGGGGGTATCATCTAACTTCCTTATGGAAACTGTAGGTTTTCTAACAGGCTTTTGTGACAATGATTGAAAAAAAAAAAAAACAAAAAAAAAAACCACTAAATGAGTGATTTGATAACTAGCACTGGGCAGAAAACAGTTTTCTAGAAAGAGCCTGGAATATAGCCTGTGATAGACATAGGCATTTTGGATGACATTTATTAGGATAATGAATGACATGATAGATACTTGACACACCAAGTGCTTATGTCTACAACCATTCATTCACTGTCTGCCAATTCACATCCTTTCTTCAGTTCATTTTGTTTGGTGCTGGCACCCAGTGTATACAAACAATGAGCATTGTGCAATGCTTCTTAGGTCTTTCATTTACGTATTAAGTAAATTGATAGTTTGTTTTGATGACCATCATAGGGCTATCTTTAGATGAAAAAACATTGTTATTTTTTAACTGGAAGTGGGACACTTAAAGGAAGCATTCCATATTTAAGTTATATAGGAGCTTAAGTAATTTAAATAAATAAGAACTATTAAGAAATAGTTCTTTCCCTTGTACGTCATTTTCTCTGGCCCTTCTGCATGTTTGTGTCCGTCCCTCAAGACACTGTACCTCCTTCTTTCTTTCTTAGTCACTTCTGCTAATTGCTAGAAATATTTATGATAAAGAAAACTGCCATTTCTCTATTTCAGTTCATCTTTTGCTTGATCCCTTAATGATGCTGTAATGTTGTGGCATCATTGTGGACAGCAAAATCCCTTTAGAAAGAATGGTTTTTATGTCTTACCTGTGTATTTGGTGGTGGTTAGTTTGTTGTTTGTTTGTTTTTCACTGTTCTTCTAGTATTATCCTCAGTTCATATCTAGAGAAGCAGATGTTTGGGTTAGTTTAAGTAGTGCTATAACAAAGCCTTGCATTTTCAGAACTTGCCAATAGGCCTGTCATAAACAACATGTGTTTTAAGGTATTCAGAGCAAGGTTTGCAAAGGAATAAAACTTTTATTTAGGTCTGTAATTAGTGGCCGTGCTTTTAGATTCATTCACTATGTGCTATGTTCAGCTCTTCTGAGAAAATGCTTTTTTTTCTTTTTTTCTGACAATTCAATGAATACCATTGAAAAAATTCATCCCCAGTTATGTCTGCTGAAGTCTTTCTGACGTACGTGATCAATTTAACAAAGTATGACAAATAGTCAATTAAATCTAAATACATTTCACTGTGATATTGAAGTGAGAATAGGAAATCTCTGAGAGAAGATGCTTGGCTGTTGTTGTAGCTGTTGTTAGTATTTTAAGAGTATTCATAAACTACATAAATAGGAAAATATTTTCCAAAGATTTTAGGATAGAAATGCAAGATAGGTAGAGACAGGCATGAGGATGCAAAGAAATTATTGGATGATAATGAATAGGTTTAGCCATCTGTGGCCTAATATATTTGGTTGTTAATGCATGGAAGGCAGGAGAGGAATGGGCACCAGTTTGTCTCTCTTTGTAATCATCAGAGTTAAGAGTTTTAGAGAAGACAGGGTTGATATGGATGTAATAGTAATGTTATTAATAACTTGCTTGCTCTAACCTTTGCATATAGCATAGGGGAAAGCACAGAGAGGTTATTTTCATATTTACCAAGGGAACGGTGAAGGCCAGCAACTTGGGCTGAGAAGTGACATCCCTCCTCGCTTTGTATGAAATCAAAGGTGAGGGATTGGGAAGGCCCAAGTCAGGAAGAAGCTGACTGAAAATGAGAGGAAGAAGCTAAACTTCAGCCCTGGGTATGGAGAGAGCAGACATCTGGCTGTTCAAGAAACTAGTTAGTAAAATCTCCTGGAAACTGCTTTTGAAGGTATTGGGATCCATCAGTGCTGGTTACTTTTTAAGAGCACCAGGGCAGGAGATTTCAAAGTGTCAGAAGTCAAGCAAGTGGGGCAGAAAGCATGCTTGTCTGGGCTTGGATCTTCTTCTAGAACATAAGCAGCAAAGGAAAGAGTACGGATACTGGAAGCAAGGTAAGGCAACGTAGGAGGATATAAAGATGCTGTTCACCATTATCACAGACTCACAGAATTTCTAGGTTGGAAGAGATCTCAAGATCATCGAGTCCAACCTCTGACCTAACGCTAACAGTCCCCACTAAACCATATCCCTAAGCTCTACATCTAAACGTCTTTTGAAGACTTCCAGGGATGATGACTCCACCACTTCCCTGGGCAGCCCGTTCCAATGTCTAACAACCCTTTCGGTAAAGAAGTTCTTCCTAACATCCAGCCTAAAACTCCCCTGGTGCAACTTAAGCCCATTCCCCCTCGTCCTGTCACCAGGCACGTGGGAGAATAGAAAAAAATTTATATAACTAAAGCTCAGTTAGAGTTGAAGTTTCCCAGTACAGTGAGGGACAACAGAAAGGGCTTCTTAACATATGTTAACAGCAAAAGGAGAGCCAGAGATAACATTGGTCCATTACTTGATGAGGTTAGTCACCTCACAAATGGGGACATAGGTGAAGCACAGATATTTAATACCTTCTTTCCCTCTGTTTTTAACACCAGTTATGGTCCCTGGGACCCTCAGAGCCCTGAGCTGGGGGACCATGACTGTGGGAATGATAACTTCCCAGGCAACTCTGAACTAGTGTGGCATTTGCTGCTCCAGCTAGATGCTCCTAAGTCTATGGGGCCTGATGGGATTCATCCAAGGTACTGAAAGTGCTGGCTGATGTCATCTCAAGACAGTTCATCTCTTCTCTCTGGTGACCAGTGATAGGACCCAAGGGAACAGCATGAAACTGTAACAAGGGAGGTTCAGGCTGGATGTTAGGAAAAGGTTCTTCACCAAGAGGGTGGTTGGACACTGGAACAGGCTCCCCAGGGCCTTGGTCACAGAACTGAGCCTGCTGGAGTTCAAGAAGTGTTTGGACAGTGCTCTCAGACACGTGGTCTGATGTTCGGTTGGTCCTGTGTAGAGCCAGGACTTGGACTCAGGGATCCTAGTTGGTCCCTTCCAACTCAGGGTATTCTATGATTCTATAATTCCAGTTATTACAAGACAAAATCATAAAGTTTGTGGCATCACAAAGAAAGGGAAAAAATGCTAAAATGAATAGGCTAGAAAGCATACCTTTCCATAGGTATTGGTGCAGGACACACTAGGACTGCTTCTCAGGACAAGGAATAAGACTGAATTGCAGACCTCACTAATTGTGATTTTTTTGGGCTTTGTTCTGGCAGCAGGAGTTTCATTTCCTAACAGTATGTTACTCTAGGTATGCTTAATTTAAGATAAAATATAGGTGTAGTTGGGCCCTGTAATAAACCTTTATTTTCATATTTTCATAATTTTCATTTAATTTGTTAGCTTCCAAAAACAGAGTAGCATACAAAATTTTCATCTCAGCTTACTTATAAGATGGCATGGAAACTAGGTAGCTGTTAGGTCATCTTGGTAATAAGTTTCATATCTCAGTAGACTTAGAATGCCAGCAAATTTTCATTATCATGCAAAATGTCTTTCATATTCCGTATTTCCACAGAAAGCATAATGACTTTCAGTGTACAGATACAATCAGAGCTCATTCACAGTAATTTCTCCAGTGCAGATAATGTGTTTACACGCAAGAACAATCTGCAGTTTTGAAAGTGGCACTTAGTGTGAGCAGTAAGGGTTTGAAAGATAATTAAGTAGTTACATGAAGCACTATGTGTGACCCTAGGGAACATGAGTATCTCAGGACCAGGTTTGGGGAATTTATGACTACATTAAGGCAGTTACCTTAAAAATGACTGTTTAGAATGTTCTTATTTACTTCTATGGCTTATTCTAGATTGATGGAATGAGCCTGAAATATTTCTGTTTTTCTATTATTGTACACTATTATTTAAGTAACCTCAGCAGTCTGACTTGCATTTCAGTGTGACAGCTTAAGCACTTGATACATAATAGTTGTTTTAATCTAACTATAGTTTCTCCCCTTTCTCTCTCTCTCTCTCTCTCTCTCTCTCTTTTTTTTTTCCCCAGCCTGTTTCTCTGGCAGGACCCAATTCTCCTCTGTCAAGAAATATGAAAGTAACAGAGAAACTGTTGACAGCTCCGTGATTTCTTACTTGGCTGGAGACTGACCATGACACAGAACAGGCCAACCTCAAGACTTCTTTAAAGCTGTTTACCCAAAATTTGCATTAAAAACATTTGATGGTGTTAGGTCCAGTCTTCCCCCTTCTTCCTGCCCTGCATCTATGTGTGGTCAACATGCTGCAAGTCCAGACATATCATAAATTGATCCCAAAGGATCAATGCAGTCAATCCAATGAGCCTTGGGAATATAAGTATGCCTCTTCTGAGAAAGCTTTTTTCAGTAACTGCTTTATGAATACTTCAGATAACTTTTTGTTTGTTCGTTTTTAACATGCCTTGATTTCTTTTTTTTAGCTTAAACTCTGAGGTACATTTTAGATGACTAATCACGACTGCTGTGTTGGGATCATCTCTTTGTTGAGTCATTAAGAGAAATTACATTTCTAGAGAATTTATTAAATAATACCGGTTAAAATATATCTTACAAGTGCTAGAGTACATGGCCTTCAGTCCTTTCCCGTTAAATGTATCAGTTTCTGCTTGCTTTAAGTCTCTTGTTTATTGAGAGACCACATCTCAATTTCTTGCAGTTTTTTCCCCCCTCAAAAAACTTTGTATTGAGTCCATCAGCAGACACAGTTCCTTGGCTAAAGCCATAGTCAAGAAATCAGATACTATACTTTTTGTAAACTTTCTTAGAGGTTTTAGGCAAGTCATCTGATGTCTTCTTGCCTTCTTCTCAACCTCAAGAAAGAAAAAAGAGTAGTAGGAGGTTTAATCCCCTGATTGTTTCATTCATCTGAAGTGCAATTTTGATACATAGGTATTTATAAAGAATGAGATTTTTGATGATTTGGGTCCCCACCTGGAAACTGCTGAAGGGACTTAATTTTAGAAAAGCTTAATCAAGATCTTTCTGAAGTATTGCAGATTAAGCATGTACAATGGCTCATTTCTGAAATCTTTTCCAAGATACATTGAGGTAGTTCTGTGGAGGCTATTAAAAAGTAATTGCAGAGTATTTACATCCTTAAGGTGGCTTTGTACAGAATATTTATATTATATCCATGCTCATGTCTACCTTTCATAGAAGGATACAGGTCCTTAAGATGTAGAAATGAAAACCCATATATTATGCTTAATACATGTATTTTAGAAGCATTATGTTACATAATGAAATTGCATAGCTTGTAAGACCACATGCAGGGAAATGATTTCTCAAGAGTATTGTTGGAAAACAGCCTTGGTTTAACGTAGAGTATAGAGGAGATATGATACCATACAAAGAAACTCTGTTCACTGTGTTCACTGTTTTACAGTCCCCTAGCAATTCTAGCTTTGGGATCCTGTGTCCTAAATGCCCTATATTAATTAGATTGTACTTTTGGTAATTAGTTTTCCTAATGCAATATAGTCAGTACTCTCTGAAATTTTCTTCTGATGCCTAGGGACACATTACATCAAAACCTGATGAATGCTATATGCTTATGTATGCAAAAGATGAGTTATAGTCAAGCTCACTCCTCTATACTAGGATAGCGAAGAAAGAGATAACTAGAACAATCATCTTTCTCTCTGCCCCAGCAGGAAAACTGTTCGTTCTTCCATTGTAAGGTTAACATCTTGCAATAATGAGAACCATGGGAATTTAACCACTGTCAGTAACCATGGCAGATACTTTTCAGTTTCCATCTTTCATATAGGCTGGTAGATCATCAACACTTGTGCTCAGTAGTGGTTGTATCAACCATGTGCACTGATCACTAAATAGCAACTGGTGTAGAGAAGGGCAACTTTTATTTTTTCCTTCAAGATGTATTTTTATACCCAAAATTGTAGCTCTGACTTGACCAATTTCTTTTTTCAAACTTGACTATTTTACTGAACTGTTCAGAAGAACAAAGGAAGGTCAGAATATTTTGTTTGATGCTTCTTTCAGTGATTTTTTCCAAAATGATAATACCTCGTGTTTAAGTATGTGTCACTATGAATAACATATTGGAAAAAAAAATATACTTTCTCTGATGAAACTTAGGGTTTGGGTGTTTTTTAAGTTGCTTTACACACTGGGGAACTTTCTGTACTTCACAGAAGTCTGAAGAAGTCTTAATGATTCAAGCAGAACTGAAATGTTAAGTCCATCCCTTAAAAATACTAAATTGATTTGTTAAATTATATCAGATGCTGCATTTTATTACAGTCCTTGAATATTTATCTAACCTGAAAGGACTATGGAAAAGTTAATGAGGTATTTCTGTACAGGATTTTTAATTACAAGAAGGAAAAAAAATGAGGAATTTCTACTTACAGAAAACTATAGGATATTTTATTAATTGGTGAAAGAGGGAAAGTTAGAATATCTGTGCCATAAAAATAATTTCAAGTCATTCTCTGAGGAAATGTTTCAGAAGTTCAATAAAAATTCTCAAAAAAAAAATCTCAAAGGCAGATTCCGTTGAAATGACACAATGCTGTTAGGCAACCTATTACAGTACATTTTTACACACACACACACACACACACACACACACACAAACAAACAAAAACGTTTAAAATCCGTCCCATGGGTTGCATCTCCTGTAGTACAATCATCCTTTGGACACCGTGGATCAACATTCAGACAGATGGTTACAGCTGGTATGACAGGGGGACAGTCCGATGCTAAGCTGAACTTGGAACCAAAGCCAGACAGAGATGCTCTGGTTTGCAAGTGCTCTTTCCACTTCTCTTGTGTTGATGCAGATTTTGAGAGGTTGCAATTAAAAATAGGCTTCTAATACAGTTGTCATAGTTGGGATCAGCCCAGGGATACGGGTGACAGCACGGTTTTCTGGCAGGATGGCACAGGAGGCAGAGGACAGAAACAGGCAGGTGCTGGGATGTCTTATGTCATTTTTACTTTAGAAGGTATTGTATAACCATGCTCTGAAAGAAGCACCTAGAAGTGCTCTCTACATTTCTAGGGAGTGTAACATGGGGAAACTGTGAGACCTAAACTCATTTTTTATTTTTTTCAAGCCTATGCAGTGATGAGACATTTCAGTATATTATTTTATCAATCTGATAGTCAGCTAATGCTTTTAAATGAAGAAATATTCTGAGTTTTTCTTCATATTTTAACTGAAACTTTTTTTTTGAAAAAAAAAACAAACTACTTTTTCCATTAAGAAGCTGTTCCAATAGAAAATTCCCACTCTTTCTAATTAAGTAGTGTAAATATAAAACATAATGTATACATCAAAAAAGTTTTACTGTTTGTGGAGCCTTTGTCAGGACCAGAAAGTGTGCTCCACTTTAAGTGCAGAGATAAGTGCTACAATTTGCAATGCCCCTAAAATGGGAATGAACTAAAATGAACTCATTACAACATTGTTTATGGCAGGCAGAAAAGAACAAACCTCAAATATGTCAGTCAAAATATTTTGTTTTGTTGATTTTTTTCATGTCATGTCATGGAAAATGAGAAAAAAGAAAAGACTAGTTGTCATGTTCCTTTCTTAGCTCTCACTTGTGGACAGAATCTAATATTGTGTCTCAGAAGCAGAAAGCACAGCAGCAGATTTCCTGAACAGAAAATGAGACTTCAGCATTTAAAGGAGCCCATGAAAAGGGAATATTAAAGCAATTTCTCATTTCATTTGCCTAGCACATTTCTGCAGCTATAGCACAGCTCTATTGAGGCAGGCTTTTGCAGTGAATGTGAAACAGAAAAGGAGCATTAGCGGTCAGCCTGTGATGTGGGTATTTGTCTAGTGAGGCACTGGTACACTCCCTGTTGTGCACTGCAGTCCAATGTGATCCAGCTGGCTGTGACTCACATGCCCAACTCTCCTCTCCATGGAAAGAAAAATAAGGGGATGGAAGGTAGAAAAAGGGTTGTCCTCTAATCTAGAGACAAAATGGCTCCAGGTTAAGCTCTCAACTCTGAGAAGTGACTCTGCAGTATATCTGCAAATTTTTACCCTCAACTTGTCTCCTGCACAAAACCAGAGCAAACACTTCCCTTGGCATCCTCATTATGCTGTTATGTGGATGCCTGCTGACAATTTTAATGCATCTTCATAGCATGCAACACAGTTACTTAAAGCAGCAAACTCTGTCCACATGGATATTTTAAGTGCATGTTTTTGTCATGGATGTTCATCCACATATTTTTCACTCATTGACTCTCTTTAGAGGCATTTTCTGTGATACGTTTCAGAGGTTGTACTAGATGAGCTTAGAACTCTTTTCCAACATAAATGATGCTGCGATTCCATGAAAGGTAACGAAGCCTGGAATGGGACAATTAATATGTGAGGCTAATAAGAGGATTAGTCTAACTTACTGTGTTCAAATCGCTAATACAGTTATTGAGCAAATTTTACTGCATTTAAAGTTTGTTATACATGTGAAAAACCACACATGACAGTAAGTACTGCTATTCTTTTTACCTTCATTTTGTAGGAAAAATAAGCGTTTGGCCCAGCTCCATTGCAGCTTGGGCCCATCTGATCCTTTTTGCCCTCTGTCCTCTAAAGAAGGGGTAACTGCTTTGCATCACAAGAGTCTCTTCTCTTTCAGCAAGACCAAACTTGAGTTTAGAAACTCTACCTGAGTGCAGCAATGTGGAGATTTCATTAGACAATGTTGCAGTCCCTTAGGGAGCAAGTAAGTTCCCTAACTTCAGTGCTAAAAGAACAAAAATCAAACTCCATAGCAAAGATAAAGCACACAAAGGGAAGGGGATTAATTTCATTTAAAGCCTTGACTGGAAAACTTGATGGTTAACAGAACTAATAAAAACTTAGGCGTTCACACAGTTCTTGAGTTAAGGGGAAGAAAGAGCCTTTCTCTTACTTCCTAGTACTTTCAGATCTGCAGAAAACCCATGAAAAATGATGATAAGCTTATACTCTTAAATTAGTAGAGCCTCTGAGAGGAAGACTTTGATGTGAAGTTATTTAGCTCTCTCTCTACTAACACTTTGATCTATTTAATTATAGACACAGTATGTTTTACAAATATTTTGTTTACAGCTTTCTGCATGAAAGTACAGGAAAAATATGGAAAGAAATTTATATAATTATAATTTAATGATCTGTATTTTAATTGTGATTTTACCAAATAATTTTGCAAAAAGTCAG